CATTTGATCGAACTTGGCCTGCTTTTTTCGGTCTTGGCTCATCTAGGCTCTTCCATTGGGACGATTGGACTTTGGTTTCGATATCATAACCATATACCCATGATTCGTCACCAGTTATGACCCTTTTGAGTAAATCTGGGTCGTCGTTGACGTCATTCGACAGTTCTTGAGCGATGCTCATGCGACGGTTTTTTTGGTCAAAATTTAGCAATTTCGGAACAAACTTCGCTGACACACGTCTCATGCCCAAAACGTTAGAAAAAATTTCATGGCATGAGCCAAGCGATATACCAACATCCTCAGCAACTTCTCTGATAGTGATTCGACGATTTTCCAGAACAATTTTCTTCACTGCTTGAACGTTTTCATCAGTTGTTGACGTGCTTGGGCGTCCAGAGCGAGGCTCGTCATTGGCATCTTCCCGGCCATCTTGGAAGAGTTTGCACCACTTGTAAACATTTTTTGACTCAGAACAGTTTCACCGTATGCCACCATCAACATTTCAAGTGTTTCGGAGCCCTTTATTTTATTTTTTACACAAAATTTGAATCAAATCCTTTGATCCATATTTTTCGATAGCAAGAAATCGCCGAGCACGCAAAACACTTATAACCTTTACACCTCTCACAACCAAACAAAAAATGCTATACACTTGAAACTTGGTACAGATGTTCGGGAAGAGTGTACCAACATAACAAAACAAAAAAATCGATCATCGAAAGTACGTTGCCCGTGAAATTTGAAAAGTCACCTTACTTTTTGAACACACCTCGTTTGTTCTGAAAGGTACAATATTCATGAAATTAAAAACTTTGAAATTTAATATCTCAAAGAAAAAATAAGCAAACTAAGCAAACTCAACGGCATTTAAAAGGACTAGACTGCTTCTTTAATATGTCGTTTGTAGTTTTTTACGTGTATATAATGTCGTGGTGCTACATAACCTCAAATATAGGTAAAAATCGCTATTTTCACACTTTTAGATTAAGATATCTCAAAATCCTGACGTGCTGGAGCAATTCTGAGGCCGGATTTGGTTTCAGCGCCAAAAATACTTTGGGAAAACATATATGGTTTGCTTGTACAAACAATTACGGTATTTTTGTAGGACTGTGTTATTAGTTTATTATGGGATTTCTATAATCAGGCAAAAGGTTTGGCAAGATTGAAAGTTATCTAAAATGTATATAAATTATTGGTGACTAACATTTAACCTATAAGTTACTATACTAGGATAATATTATATCACATTTTTTTCTATCACTTATTCCAAAACTCTAAGTATTTCAACGTGTAATTTTTAAAATTGTGATAATATATTAATAAATAAATACATTATTTGTTTTATGACATTAAATATGAAAGCTATTTTCAACTGCAGTTTTCAGCATCCGTACTACTTTCAATTAATACCAAGCTCATTGATTTGCTAGTTATCGTGCTGTTAACATTGAATGAATACGTACTTACTTAATTTATTTAAGCCATGTGTATAAAACAAATTAGCTTACGTGCCATTATGAAATAAATTTCATTACTTTCAAAAGATTAGAACCAATTCATAAAAAAAAAAAATAAAACTCAATTGAGATACTTAGTAAGATAAATAATAATTAGCGATGATTCAAAAACAGATGTGGCGGGGGATTTCTGGGGTTCTCAGCCGCGCACTCGAAATGCTTCCGCCACAAGGCCTGATTGGACGATTTCTCCGACTAGTAATAAGGGTGCCAGATCGCCGTTCCTAGGTTACGGCAATCATAGGGTCGGAAATTGGAGAAGGTTTTATCTGCCCACTGTGCAACTGCGCAGAGTGGGCAAGCTGGTGACCTCAGGACGATATCTTTTCCACAGGCAGTGGTACCAACTAATAGTTGAGCTTCTCCGTTGTCTCATCTTCTGGAAGTGCTGGCAGCTCAGGATACAAGTTTTCGTCTCTGGTCGGAGGTTACCTAGATCTAGCGTATAAGTCACCTAACGTTCGGAACTAGTAATGAAAAAGAATCCTTGATACAGACCGTCCGTGGCTAAAAATAAAATCAGCATGCAGGGAGGGAAAAGTCAACAAGGCGTAGATAACAGAGATCAGTTACACTTCACATTCCTTTATTCGTTAGCTAGGGTACAGATTCGGTCATAATGGCGGATGGTCAGCGCGGCTCGACACGATTTAACACGTTGAATCTACGCATCCCGGCGAATCAAATACGCGACGAACTATACGCGCAATCCTTAATTCGTGACGGCGATTAGTACTTCATCTAGCTATCTAAATCCCACACTCCTTACACTCAAGCTAGTTAAAGAAATGGCGGTTGATCAGTGCGATTCGGTCGAAGCACTGTATTTCGTAATTATGGACACGACGAATCACGCACAGCACCCCATAACTATTACTACTGAGCGACACTTTACCTACTTACAGATTCCAACTACAGACTCACTCGGTTAAATCACAAGTCCTTCGATGGTCTCAGCTAGTAGCGGATTTGCGTGTATGGAAGCTCACGACCAGCGGTAAAATGGACGAGAAACGACTCTTCACAGTGAAAGATCCTTTACTTCTTCTTTTTCCGAGAAGAAATCATTTTATTGGCCGATATACTAATTCGGATATCGGTAGTGTTCTCCGAATATTCTGTCATTGGTTAATATGTAAATTAAAAAAGTAATAAAGCCCTCATTTTATCTCCTACTTCACCGCTATTTACTCTCTCTCACCTCCCACTAAGTCAGTCAGCATTGATTGATGAGAAAGATATACCCCTACTCCTATTTATTTTTCGTTGCGGCCGGAAATCAAATTTATTCTAATTCGCTTATTGGTCGTGACGTCACCGGCGAGTTTTGTCAGAGATTTAAATTTCATCAGTCAATTATGTTGATTTAATTCAACAGACTACTTGTCGTTTATGAGTAAGCCTAAGGAATTGTAGCGGTCGCGTAAATGTATTTCCAATTTTCTCTATGTACGTTACACATTTTAAGTCTCATCGCTGTCATATAATATAATAGTCGTAAGTAGGTTTCATTTTCGTAGTGCTCTCATCATCGAGTTTGCGTTTGAATTAGTATTGTATTCAAATTCTAATTCTCTCGCTTTCATATGGCCTGTCTCGCTTGCTCTTGTAGTCTGTTTCGCTCGCTCTTGTTTAATCTGTCTCGCTTGCTCTTGTTTAGTTGGTCTTACTCGCTCTCGCTTAGTTTTTCTCGCTCGCTCCCGCTCAGTTTGTCTCACTCGCTCTTGCTCAGTCTATCTCGCTAGCTCCCGCTCAGTCTATCTCGGCGCCTCAAAATGGCCGCCCTTGCTCTCGCGTGTAGACATTATGCTCTGCTGCTGGTCTCTGGAATGCCTCCTGGAGCGCTCCCCCTCGGTCGTGTGTCGTGTGTATGCATCCGGATGTTTCAGTACTTTCAAAAGATTAGAAACAGTTAATTCGTAAACAAACTAAAACTCAATTAAGATATATAGCGAGATACATAAATAATGTGAATAGAGATTTAATAAGAGTATATAATAACATATAAGAAGATAACTATTTAAGCAACAGTTTATTTTTTAAAATGTTGTATAATGATATTTAAATAAGATTGATAAAAAAATAGTGTGTTTGAAAGATAATATCTAGTAATGTAATGATAATATCAAGAGACTCAAAAATATATAACTATAATTTTTATACATATAATTTTACAAAAGCATTCATGCAACTTTTTAGTGTGTTAAAATTGGAAAATACATTATTGACGAGTCGTGTTTTGGAAAAAAAAATATATATTCTGATATTATTAAATTAAGGTTACATTTTTTATATATAGAAAGTTCATTTGCGCACATTATCACTGCACATATTCTAAAAAATAATGATACTTTATAAATAAATACTTGGGTACTTTTCTTGGTAGCACTTGGGTAGGGTAACTTGTAAGTTCACTGCTCAATGAATAATATTTCTAGTTGTTATTGAGATTCGTTTACTTTCTGTTGCCCAGCTATTGAGGAGTGTTATCCTCGCGGCTTTGACTCTGTAACGAATTTCCGAATGTTTCAGTAGAAATTGTCGACGATTGTATAAGAACGCACCAATCTATGCTAGTGAACCATTCAACAATTACCATTGTTATTATTTTCAATTATATATTCTCTTCGTCAAATTCTTGCTTGCTCTTGGGAAGTTAAGTTGAAAATGTATCTTAGAGTTCAAACTATATTCATATAACGTATTATTCTAATATGTTACAGTTTCCAACGCATATTTCTAGAATGATTAAAATCTTTGCTATATCATTTTGCAGCTGAATAATCGTTGAATCATCAACAATAAATAAAATGTGAATTTGACTGAATGTGTTGAAGTATCTCCCAACACGAGTGTCATTATTTAGTGTCTTATTTTCCAGAAATTGTAATATGATACTTGAAATAGAAGTTGAAACGAGAAACAGACCAATAGAATAGATTTGTTAACCTGTTAACCGGGAAAATCCCTTTCTAATTACGCAACATATAACGGGCGCGTCCTTTTCCACTAAGATGTGTATGAATGACGTATTACCATAGTAGTAGTAAAATATACGTCCCACCCGTTCCAGGGCGCAATATAAATATCGAGGACGTATTTATATGTCCTACCGTACCCGATATTGTTTACTTTTGACGTATTTATACGCCCCGCTCGGTTAACAGGTTAAGAACCAACAGTCTTATTGATCGGCTTTTATTTTTTCTCTTGTATAATGTAATTGTTTTTATATTCATTTTGTGCAATTTTTTTTTATCTACCTCCCATCTCACGAATGAATTGATTAAGTCAAACGTTTATCTCAAAAATGGTACCAAATACAAACAATAATATAGATATAACTAAATCTATAGTTTTATTTCTATTTATTAATACCTCAAAATAAAAATAAACTATACTTTCATCTAGATAGTATTATTGCAGTTGTTGTAAAATCAAAAGCACGAAGATTGTTAAATTTGATATTTATTTTTACAGCTAATTCAATGAATTCTGCTGAAAATCTTACCAAAGTTCTTAATAGGAGTTCTCATTCGTCTGCATTTCACCCTGTCATACCTTCATTTACAAGTAAATATATATCAACTAGAACAAATGAAAATGGCTTTCAAAGTATTTCAGAGGAAAATGATTCAGATAATGAAATAGACGTGGAAACCGTGAAAGATAACACTATTAATTATTATCTTGATAAAAAAGCAAACTTGAATGTTTGGAATTATGAAGAAAGGGAGTCCAGATCTTTGGTTAAACATTTGCAGTGTTGGAATCCCCCTCAAGAAACAGTGAGTATATGGAATTAGTTATAATTAGAAATTAGAGCTTGTATAAACAATATTGATCACCTCTTTTCCATATCTTTTAGAATAATACATATAAATTCAATACTTGAATAAAATGAATATACTTATAGAAAATGTAGATAATCAGTTTCTTTTATTTTTGAAGAAAATGGAATCATCCATAAATTTTATATAGAAAAGATTAAATACTTTATAAAAATGCAATAGAAACCGTAACTTATATATTTTCATGTCAAATTCTTGCAGCATATTTTAAAGTGTTTAACTTCCGACCTTATTTATTCGTTTAATTTTAAAATATTTATGCAAATAACCTCACATTTATTTCTGTACAAAATTATCTTTAAATTTAATGTTTAAAATGTCTATTAATTTTGGGCAATTTTTAAAATGATGTCGAAATTTTTATAAAATATTATTGCTCAAGTTAAATAAATATATTTAATTTATTTTAAACAGAATAAATAAATTTAATTGCATCAAAATTAATATATTGTAACAACCACTCAAATAATAAATAATAAAGATACGATTGTTAGAAAGGCGTTAGTTTATTCAATTAGGTTAATAGGCTAGCGTCAACAAAACTATTAACTAGTTGGAAGAAAAGAACAACAACTGAGATACAAACAACAGTGAAGTTGGTAATAAATTGAACCAAACAAATATTCTAAAATATTTAAGACTACATACAGAGTGAACTTACATGTTACGATGCGTGAGTGACGCCAGTGTGACATTTCGAGCAAGTCGGGTTTTTTATAGACTCGATGTCTTTGCGTTATATATAAGGTAGAGAGATGGAAATCGAATTAAGTTTACGTTGTAAGTGCAATCAGTTTTGTTTTATCATCGCGGGAACACTTAATTCGATAGATAAAAAACAAATTTGAGTGTTTTCTGTATTGGGCTCTTTTGTGCAGCTGGTCAAGGTAGCAAGCGGAGCACCAATAAAGGAAATAGTTGTGGATTACTCGCGCAATTTTTCTCGTTTAGTGACAAGGTAAATTCGCTCGCTAGCAGAGATTGTCATGTCGAACAGGTTGGATAGTGTAAAAAACGTCGAGCCACGGCGCGTAAGGAACGAGAAAATAAATCGTGCGCGCGAGAAAATAGGCCGTGATGACCGCCGGGCGTGTCGGACAGCAACTCAGCAGCTAGCGTTAAGCTAAGAACCCCGTAATAAAAAGAAGCGGGGATGTTTGGGGAAACCCGGAACGCGCGCGTGTCAGGATTCAGAAACGTGTCGGCCACATGTTTGGGCCCGGGAAAGGACCGTTCGAGCACGTCCGAAAGGGAAAGTAAAATATAGACCCCCTTTCTTTTCTTTTTTATGTATTTTTAATTTCGCGTGGTTGTCTCTTCGCTGCGAGCTGCAGGGCGCAGTTTCGGATAAAAAAAAAAAAAAAAAAAAATTGTACGCGGCGCCTTATGCGTGCAAGGCCTTACATCTGGATGGCACGCGAGATTGGCGAAGGAGTGATCGGGGAGGCGAGGCCCCTGTTAAGCGAGAAACAAAAAGTTATATGGGGCCATCGATTCGCTTCGGTCTCGCTCGCGACTTGAGCTCGTGCGAAGGCAAAGTGTGCTTTCGTCGCCATGTTAGCTGATGTCAGCTCTCAGGAACTGATCCGAGAGGCTGCTAGACCCTACGGGAAGCAAGTGGCTTCCGAGTTCTCGCGGGTCGAAGAGAGAGACAGAAGAGGCCAGCCGGTTGGCCTCTGGTCGAAAGGCTGAAGGGCGAGAGTGCGAGCGGGGGCGGAGCGAGAGTGCGCGCGGCGCGTTTAGGCCCAATAGAAATAACTACGCGGAAAATTCGGCGAGGGAGGGGTAGGGCCGGAAAGGCTTGAGAGGATGCGAGCGAGAAAAATAAAGAGAACGGGTTAGTCTGCGCTCGGCCGCTCTTTCGCCGAAACTAAGAGGCTCGCTGCCTCAATCGCTCTTTGAGTCGCGAGCGTGCGCCTTACCTATTTGTAATCTGTTGTTGGTGTACTTATTAATAAAAGAAAAACTTCCATCATCACGCCTTCGACTATTTTTGATTCTCCTCACCCCTTACAGATAGCTAGAATCACAGTACTTGACCAAGATTGCTCGCTCTTATATATACGTTTCTTCTATGCGCACCTTATTTATATTTATACCTTAGCATATTACTAAGCCTCTCAATAACACCGAACTCTGGGGATGAGTTCAGTCGCTTGTTTTTTGTTAAAACAACCAAATTCAACACCAGAAGCAAGCTGAACCGCCTAACCACTTACCCCTTAACTCACCCAACCCCTAACAACCACCACTACCAAATCACAAGCAGGCTAACCTACCCAACTCTAGGAACAACGACTTTAGTCGCTGGTTTTTAGGGAAACAATTTTTTGAGTCTTTCTTTTCTAACATCAAATTATAACTATATTGACAAATCCTTTTAAATAAAACTTGATCAAAACTATTCCATTTTTTCTATTTTACTTTGGTATATATTCATCTTAATTTTATATCGGATTTAGTTCTTAATTTTATTATATTAATCAAAAAAAGAATAATTTAGGTATATATCGTAAAATAATTTATATATAGAAGAAAAATATAAATGTCTCCGTAATTTTTAGTTGAATTATAAAAATATATTTTAAAAAAACATTAAAATATATTTAATGTTTTTTTTATCTGAAATACATACGGTGTCAATAGTTCTGTTCACTGTATAAAATGTATTGTCGAGGTTGTGGTAAGTCTCTCGCACAAAAAAGACGGAGCAGGGATTGTCATGAAGTTTCAAAAAATCCTGACGAATACGAATGCAAAAAATACTACAATGATCGCAATCATCAATCTCTACGTGTAAGAGATATTGGATCGACAGATGAAGAAGAGGTATACGTAGAAAGTAGAAACCAAATAACAGTAGATATTCCAGGAAGTTCAAGTGATCACAAGAGATGTCTTTTTGGATGTGAAAAAGGTCAAATATTAAGAAGACTAAGTCAAGAAGAATGTTTAAATATTTTTATGCTTTGAAACATTTACATTTCTTACGGTAATAAGATCTGCTTTAATCATGGTTCTGATGACTCCTTACAAATTCCTGATTCATTTACTAGTACAAAGCCTAAAGTTGTCATGACCGCCGATGAAGTTAAACAATTACTATTTACATTCAAAAGTATAGTTATTGAGGAACGTAAAATTAATTCAAGATCAAAATCATTTTTAACTATGAAAGCACATGACTTGTTTTTTGAAACAGGTGTAAATCATGATGCGTTTAAAACAATCTTGGAATATATCAAAGATATAAAATCCCACGACAACAGTTTATTTTTAGGAATGTATTTGTCAAGACTTCGAAGAGGATATACCTTTGATGAGTTGCAATTAAAGTCTAATTATAGCAGACAAACTATTAGTAAAAATTGCAATAACATTCGAAACACATTACTGCAATCATTTCGAGAAAAATATTTAAGTTTTGCGAGAAGTAGGGATGAGATATTAACCAATCAGACTGCTTTATCCACAATTCTTCAAATCGATTGATCAGAAAAGGAGTTAGTTATATTTTATGGTACATATTCAAAAATAGAAAAAAGTTTTGATTTTGAGTCTCAGAGACAAACTTGGTCCGTTCATAAACATTATAATCTTATAAAACCAATGGTGGCTACGCTAATGGTCGTATTACTGGTGTTTGGGGGCCATATCCTGGTTGTAAAAATGATGCTTCTATCCTAAATGATCTTTTCTAATAGAATATTTGGTCGATAGGACGTTTTGATACTGGATAGGGGATTTCGTAACTCTATCAGTGAAATTGAAAAAAAAAGGTTTCGTTGTTAAGATACCAGCTTTAACAAATCAAAAGCAACTTATTACCCAACAAGCTAACGATTCAAGACTGGTCACAAAGAATCGATACATCACTGAAGTTATAAATGGTAGAATAAATAGGAATAACAAGTATTTTGCAAAAACAATACGCAATATAACAGTTGAGAAAGCATACGATGATTTTCTAGTTTCCTGCGCAATAAATAATTTAACTTTTACTGCTGTTAAAAGTACTGATTTAGATATTAAAATAGCTCAAAGAATGTTACAGTTATTAGATATGCAAGGCACTTCGTGTGTGACTGCGTTTGTGTAAGTGGAGGAAGTTATACTCTGAGATTATCTGCATGTTAGTAACACGTCAAGGAGCGCCTGTATTGCCATCTTTGATATATTGTATAAATTTTGTATAAATTTTTTTATTGATAAAAATATATCTTATTCTACATGTTCTTAAAAATACAATGTTATTCTACAAATTATTCACATAAAAAAAATCACTAGAAATTCTTCAACGACTGCATCGTTCTCTTCCAAATTCATGCAACAACCATCGATGTAAAACATTTTCATTAATTTAACGTTTTGATGTGCATATGTCGTTATGTATTTGACGTTATGATTAGGGCATACAGTAACTGATTTTAATTTTTCGAAAGGTGAATAACCCCAATCATTCAAGTCGAAAACTTTGAAGCCGTATCGTCCTAACCACTCATTTTTCAGATCTCCGGAAACGAAAAATTCAGTATCATCTTCAGTGTATCTGTGATGATAAATTTATGCTCTCGTATTTAAAATCACCAGATTTCCATGTTAATCCATAAGAGTAGAATTCGAACCAGAGAATTTGTCGCTTATATTTCTCCGTTAGTCTTCACCATGAAAAAGGAGGTTTGAACAAGCGTACGATTGGTTCTTCGTTGTAGTAAAGTGGAAGTATCGCTAACTCTTTTACAGCACAAGTTTTGTCAGGCATCATAAAGCCTTGCATATCCACTACGTACTCCATTGTGATAGAAAGCTACTATTGAGCTGCTTAACCCATTAACGACCAAAATGCTCAATTTTTTTGTCGATTTTCAACGCGTTTTTTTCGGTAGTCATAGGCCTAAGAAATTTTTGCAAACATGTATTTGGATGGGAAATTTAACGCTCTTTCAGAATCTTTTATCAAAATTGCGATTGATTGCGTTATAAAAAAGTTATAGCCAATTAAACAATAAAAACCTGAAAAATTTTGCGAAAAATCAAGTTTGCG